CTGCAGCACCTAGTTGCTTCATATTTGCATATTTGTAAAGCATTTAGCACAGTACCTGGAACAAAGTATGTACTATCTAAATGCTAGCTGGTACTATTATTATTATTACTTCCAAAGGGCAGCTAGGTGGTGGAGTGGATAGAGTTCTAGGTCTGGAGTCAGGATGACTCATCTTCCTAAGTTCAAATCTTACCTCACACACTTACTGGTTGTGTGACCCTGAGCAACCTTGTTTGTCTCAGTTTCCTCATCTGTAAAATGAGCTGGAGAAAAAAATGGCACACCACTCTAATATCTTTGCCAAGAAAACCCCACAAGGGGTCACAAAGAGTCAGATACAACTGAAATGATTGAACAACATTATTTCTAAAAAAGGAGAATGAAGGTAGCTTTTACTGTGTTCCTTATTATGCAGTGAAAACCTTAGACAGAATTGGACTGTTGTTTTCTGTGACTTCTTTTCTTATGACATACCTTTATTTCTTGATCTCTAACTCGTTTTAAGAGGTCACATTTCTCACTGAAATCCTTTTGTCTTGTGTCATTGTCCTTTCAAAAATAAAAGCAGTAGTCAGTTCGTGGTTTCTGAAACTCTTTTTTCCTTCAGTCTTCTCTTAGGAATGTTCTTTTTAATAAACCTGTAATTTGTCTACTTGGTACTTATTTCCTTCACCAACCTGCTTTTTATTTTCCCTTTGGATTTTATTTCTGTGTTCTACTTGGTATAAGCCTTGTGGGTGTGGTTAATAAGTTAACACATCTAATTGCGGAAAAAACTCAATTTTCCTGTATTGTGAAGGAAACTTTCTCTGGGCTTTCTTTTGTTATATGCCTTCAGTGGGAAAATTAAGATTTATCCATGATCTTCACTGAGGCAAATTTTAGCTGAATATAAGAAAGAACTTTCCACCCAGGAATATTGTCCAAAAATGAAATGAGCTGTGTCATCAGGTAGAGAACTCCACATTATTGAAAGGGCTCAAAAAGAAGCTGAGAGATCATTTGTTGAAACTATTGTTTATTGGGTGGATTCATTAAAGAGAAGGTACTATTTAGTAACCTCTACCTTTCAACTTTTAAGATTTTATAAGTTTTATCAAGTGACTGAAATGACTGAATGAATCCATTCTTCTTTTGGATCAGGTGCTGCCTATTGTCAGTTCATGGATATGCTTTTTCCTGGTTCCATTGCTCTTAAGAAAGTGAAGTTTCAAGCAAAACTGGAACATGAATACATTCAGAACTTCAAGATCCTACAAGCAGGTTTTAAGAAAATGGGTGTTGACAAAGTAAGTTAGAATTATATCCTTTCCTTTGAGTGTGTGCTTGTTGTTTTCATTAGCACTGTCCAGTACAAATATTTAATCTATGGATTTGGCTGAGGTAAACTAGCTATGGAAATGTAGAAAAATTTAGCTATAAGGTCACAATTTTCCTTGCTGCCAGGGTCCATTAATATTTTCAAAATGGGCTTATCAACTTCATTGTAAATACTCATTCTAGAAGCAAAATTTGGCAAACATTTAATTCAACAAATTTGCAAAAGTCATTGTGATATTAAACAATTATTGATTTTCATTATGAGATTGTCCCTAAATCTGGCAAACTCTCATTTTACTTAAGTTAGATATGTCATTGCTTCTGGGAATGTTGGAAAAGGCAGCCCAGCTGGTGTATATGTCATTTTCGTCATCCCTGCAGGTGTAGATAGCTTTTCTAAGAGGTGAAAGAGACCAGGGAACCTTAGGAGAGTCATTTGGAATAATAACTTCCATAGAATTAATAGTGCTTATGCAGACTGCTTTCTTGCTAGTATATTTAAATTTGTCAGAAACAGATTCTGCTAGATGTATTATTTTTTATGATCCTGAGCTGTGATTTCATCAGTATGGGGAACTTCCAACATGGAAACTACCTCCATTAATGCATATTGGCAAGTCTGTAACTTAGTGTTAGGGAATTGCCTAGGGTCCTGAGAGGCTCGGTGACCTGCCTGTGGTTACAAAGCTAGTATGTCTCAGGGAGGATGACTATGAGGCTGGCCCTCGATTCACTATGATGTGTCTCTAGACCATAGGTTTCATGGCAGTCTGGTGAAAACTATGGACTTGTCAGAATAATGTTTTTAAATGTATAAAATAAAATACATGGGATTACAAAGGAAACTGTATATGAAAATACAATTATTAAAATACAAAAAATATAACCCAACAAAAATCTAAGTTCCTGGTTTCCAGAGTAAAAATCCCTTCTTGTAGGCTTTATAGAAGGAGTATATACCTTTCTCTTATGCAGTGGATTTGTTCATTCAGTAAGCACTAAGAAGAGTGAAAATAATGAATGTTTACTGTTAAATCAACTATAGCGTTGTGCTTTCTATCTACAAAGATGAATATAATTCTTGTTTTCAAGAAGCTTACTGTCTAGTAGGAGAGCTAAAGCACATACACAGATTCCACATTCTATCTGTGTTACAGGTAAGTGCAGTAAGGGTAGCACAAATACTATTGATGATTAGGGGAGAAGTTAAATTATTTCAGGTTGACAAATGGGGAAGTTGACCTGGAGGAGCTTTCAGCTGTACCTTGGGGGATGGGTAGGATTCGGATCAGTGGGGTAATGTTCACATACAGAAACAGAAGGTAGAAAAGATGGGAAAGTATGGGGTGAGTTACTACCTTCAAAGTTGAATGTAAATTTAGTTTAGTTTTTGTAAATTGAAAAACATTTTAAACATGCCAGGGAAGCCTACCTTTTAAAAGAATCTTCTGGTAATTCCTCTTTTAAAACCACTATCTATTTTATAAATTTGGAGTCCTCATTGTGACAGACAGTATAACTTAAGCATCTACATAGTAGGGATACCAATTAGTTGCTGGGAAGGAAGAAAAAAAGATTATTTTAAATTAACAACTTGGCTCTAATTCAGATATGAGTCAGATTCTGTTTATTCCATATCATAAAAACAATGTTTAACCCATTGAAAGAAAACTCAGAGGGGACAAGTTTATGGTCTTAAAATTTCTGACAGGTTCATATGTAAAATAAGTATTAGGTAGGGTTTCTCTGCTTGATTCCTTCAGCATAGGACCAGGACCAGTGGGTGAAAAATAACAGGGAATAGACCTTTTTCAATATAAGGAAGGAACTGCTAATATTTAGAGCTGTCCAACAATGAAATGGCCCTTGGTAGGTAAAATGTTCTTTATCACTGAAGGTATTTAAAGAAAAAACTAGATGAACACTTAGGAATGCCATAGAGAGGATGCTTCTAGCAGGTGTTGGACTAAATGACCTTTGAGGTTTCTTTTAGCTCTGAGATTCTATAAAATTCTTTGTGTGGCAAAAAAATTAATGAACTTCAGCAAAGGCACTACTTATTTCAAGCAGTTTTTGATGATCAGATTCCAGCTTAATGAAATAACCTGTACTTGAGTTTATTTAATGAGATTTGACTTTTGTGGTAAATGGCTTGTTTTGTAATTTTAGGACTGTAACCCTTAATTCCTGTAATGAATGAATGAATGTAAACATATTTATTTATTAAGTGTTTACTATGTTCTCAGCAGTTATGTGAAACACTGATACAAGTAGAAATAACCCAAGCAGTCTCGGCCCTCATGGTGTTCACATTCTAATTGGGGGGAATAATACATAAAAAAAGAGGTCATTCAGCTCAGAGGCAGGTGGAATAACCTAGAAGTTGTAAGGGCAGTGATGAGATGGCTGGCAAGGCCCTCGGGTCCTTTGTATCAGCAGGTCTGGTAGCAGTGCCCAGGTCTGGAGGTAATAGTAGCAGTCCAGAGGGTAAGACCTGGTGGTGATCCATCTCACTAGAAGGCTGGTAGTTGGTAATTCCCACTTCATCTAAGTGGTATAAAAAACCATGCTTTTCTTTCTACCTGGTTACCCCAGTGAGTTTAGGAAGGGTGGGCTGCAAATCAAGAGGGCAGGATAGATTTACTGTAATCGGTTTATTTGACTAGGTTTTTTTATAGATGTTACTTAAATCTGATGAGTACTGTAAATGTTAGACACTAGAAAACACACAACTATCGTAGTTTCCACTCTTGTAGGAATTTAACAGATGAAGACTTAAACGTGATTTCATTTCATAACATTTCATATTAATTTTTGATTTCTGATTCTGTTTATTCTTTGTTATTTTTTATAAACATAATCCATACCTTGCAAGCTGGCTGCCTTTTTTTTTCTTGGGAAAACAGTTGTTATAAAGCCAGATTTATAGGCTTATGGAGATAGACTGTTCTTGTCTCTTAGGACTTTTTTTTTCTTTGTAGATTCCATATACTCATTCTTTATCTTGGAGTTTCCCAGTATCTCTGATTTTGGGCTAAACTATTTTGATCTTTTTTCTTTTTCCTTAGATAATTCCTGTGGACAAATTAGTGAAAGGAAAATTTCAGGACAATTTTGAATTTGTTCAATGGTTCAAGAAATTTTTTGATGCAAATTATGATGGGAAAGACTATGACCCTGTAGCAGCTCGACAAGGCCAAGAAACGGCAGTAGCCCCCTCCCTCATGACTCCAGTTTTGAATAAGCCAAAAAAACCTCTTGGATCCAGTGGTGCGGGTAAGGGATGTGTCCTCAACAAAAACTGGCCTCCATGCTGTGCTGCTTTGGTCTGTTATAAAATGAGGTTCTTTAGATAAGTTTATGACTCCTCTGCGGACAGTAAAGGCTCTGAAGTTGTCATTATGGCAGCTCTTCTCACCTCTAGGTGGGACTCCAAATAAGAATGGTCTGGTAAAGAAGGGTTTCAAGCTGTTCCTTAAAATCTTTTGTGTTCTTATGCTCATGATTGGTAGACTGGGAAGTTATATAAGTTAATCTACTCTTTTAACATTCCAGTAATTCTCAGATGGTAACTTTGAAATTTGAAGGAAAAAAAACCTAGTTTATCAGATTAAGTGAATAGTAGGTAAAGCAACTAAAGGAAAACAGTTTTGCTTATTGTGGATTTTAAAAAGTATTTAACTCTTGTCCTAAGTTTAAGTATAAATGTTATAGGGTAGCGACCACCTATTTTTAGGTCTGATTAAGCAGTCTTATATGAAGAAAGAGACTGGATTCTTTTAAATTAATGTCACCTTAGATAATATGCTGAATTTGTATGTAGTTATCTTGATGATGTATGTCAAATAATCTGATTTGTTCATAAAGGACCCTTTTTACCTTTCTTATTTTGTTTTGACTATATTAATTTTTTTTGGTTCTTTCACAAAGAACCAGTAGGATAGTGAGAGTAGGGAATAATCAAGTCAGGAGATTTGATAAGGCTCTAAAACCTCATTAAAAGGTTTGGAGAGGAATGAGAAAGAAATTATTGATGGCATGGGCTTTAGAATGATCTTTGAACTTCATATAGCTGTTTTATCAAGGAGTTGTTTTGATGTAACTCAGAGCTGGTTATGTTACTTTGTATTGCATTTAAAAGATGGTGAAGCTAGAGAGTCCAGCTGGTTGCTCAAGCTGAGCCTCCTTGGTATCTGTTTCTGGGCGAAGTCCAGTTCTGGCCCAGTTTCTGATCCTCAGCTTTGTAGGCTCAAGACTTAATGTTCTCTGCATTAGGAAATTAATATACTCCAACCATGCTTAGAGACTGATTATGAACCAGGAGGCTAATTTAGAATTTTGGCAGAGTAACTGATATCAATCCTTTGCATGTGATACTTCTAGAATTGTTGCAGTGTTCTCTCCATTGGACAGTGTTGCCTTAATTCTTTGGAACTACTTCTAATTTGTACAGTTAATTTAGTGGTTGTTTAAAGCACACACATAGATGCTTTATACTTGAGGGAAGGGGGTGGGATAGTGATGAGAGCACTGGATTTGAAGTATAAAAGCCTGGATTCAAATTCTGATTTTGCCATTATTGCTGGGACTGTGGTCTGGTCACTTGACCTTTCTGCACCTTACAAAATGAGGAGTTTGGACTAGATGAGATCTCTAAGGTCCTTTCCAGCTATAAATCCTATGCTATAGTTTCAGATGACTGTTTCCTTTATCCTAATGATGAATATTCTACAAGCAAAGAATTACTTTCAGCACAGAGATCTCATTTCCATTTGGGGCAGACTTTCTTGATACTATGAGTTTTGTTCACTGAGTACCAGTATCAATGAATTGGTTATTGTAATACCCCCTTTTTGATATTGTTTTGATTATATTTTTCTTCCGTTATTCCATTTAAAAGTTAAATTTTCTCTCAGCTCCACAGAGGCCCATTTCTACACAGAGAACTACAGCACCTTCCAAGACAGGCCCTGGCGTGGTCAGAAAGAATCCAGGTATGGGAAATGGAGATGATGAGTCAGCAGAATTAATCCAGCAGGTAGGTGCCTTCCAAACCCAAACTCAGTATTATTTTTTTATTTAAGGGGGAAAAAAATCTTATTTTCATTGGTGTCTTTTTATATCACCATAATTTCTGAATCTGTTCTTTCCCTTTCCTCTGTTGCTCCCAGTGAACCATGTCTTATAACAAGCAGTTCAGCAAAATCAGTCTACACATTAGCCAAGTGTGACAGTTTATGCAATATTCTACACCCCTAGTTCCTGCCCTCTGCAAAGAAAGGAGAAAAAAGCATTTTCTCATCTCTTCTCCAGGACGAAATGTCTTGGTTGTTATAACTGCACAGGGTTCAGTTTTGTTTTTCCCATTTATATTGTTTTATAGTCATCAGATATATTGTTTTACTAGTTCTGCTCGCGCATTCTGCCTCAGTTCAATCCTTCAACAAATATTTAAGCACCTACAATGTACAAGGCCTTGTGCTAGGTACCGGGCATATAAATAGAATGAATAAATCAACCCTTAAAGGTTGTGAAGCTTTACACCTATGCAGAGGAGTTTACATTTGATCCTAGAGAAAATCAGGAGTTGCTGGAGTTGATTGAGTAGAGGAGGCTCTTGGTTTGATCTGTGCTTAAGGAAAACACTAAAACACTATGGTAGCAGTGTGTAGAATAGATAGGAGTGAGGAGAGGCTTGAGGCAAGGAAACTAATTAGGATACTATTGCAGTAATCTAGGCAAGAAGTGATGAGAGTCTTAATTAAGATGGTAGCTATCTGGGTAGAGAGAAGGGGTCAGGTGCAAGAGGTGTTGGGAGTTGATTAGATATGTGAATTAAAGTGAAGAATTGGGGGTGATGCTGAGAGGTTGTTCGCTTAAGGGAAAAAAATGGTGCATTTGACAGAAATAGGGAAATTTGGAAGATGGTGGTGGGTTTTGGGGGTAAGGACTTATGTTTTGAACTTGGTAAGTTTGAGATGTCTCTGGGACATCCAATTTGAAATGTTTAGTAGGCAGATGGTGATATGGAATTGAATCTTGGAAGTGAGATTGGGGTTGGAGCTTTCTCTTTATCTCTTTACTCTCTGAGTCATTGACATAAAGATGATGATTAAATCTTTGGAAACAGATGAGGTCACCAAGAAAGAATGTAGAGAGTGGAGAGTAGGGGGCCTAGGACAATGCTTTGGGAAACATTTACAGGTAGGGGTTGTGATTATAGAGGACAAACCAGCAAATGAGACTGAGAATTAGACAGAAAGAGGAAAGTTAGGAGGGAGTAATGTAATGAAAGTCTAGACAGGAGAGTGTATTCAGGAGGAAAGGATGATAGATATTTTTGAATGGAACAGAGAAGTCAAGAATGATAAAGATTAAGAAAAGATCATCGTATTTGGCAATTTGGAGATCATTGATAACTTTGGAGGGAGCAATTTTGATCTAATGTGGTCAGACACCAGATTGAAAAGGGTTGAGTAGTGAGTGAGTGGAGAGGAAGTGGAGGCAATGAGTATAAACAACTTTTTTTCCTAGGAGTTTGGTTGAAAAAGAACAGATAAAGGGCAACAGCTTGGCAGGATGGTTGGGGCCTAGGGAAGGTTTTTTTTTTTTTTTTTAAATTAAAGAATGAAGTAAACCTGGTCTTGTTTGAAGGTAGTAGGGGATTGAACCAGTAGATACAGAGATGTTGAAGATTAGAGAGGGAGAGGGAGGTGATTGAGGTTGCAGTCTGCTGGAAAAAGTGGAAAAGAATAGAACCGAGGGCACACATAGACAGGTTGGCCTTGGCAAGGAGAAGGATCGTTTCTTTGCTGAACCTGGGAGGAAGGAAGAGAGAGTGGGGGAGGATGTGAGATAAGAAAGGGAGAGGAGGGAGCTCACATTGAATAACCTCAGTTGCTTCAGCAAAGTAAGTGGGGGTAGGTTAGGTTGGGCTGGAGATTTGTGGGACTTGAGAGAAGAGAAGCATGGATAAAGTTTTGGGGGGAGTGAGATAGGGAATCACATTATGGAGGAATAAAAGGATTGTCTTGCTGTGATGAGAGTCCAGTTGAAGTTGGGTAACATGAATTTATGATGTACCCAGTCAGCATGGTTGAGTGACTTCCTCCAGCTCCATTCACCAGTATGTGAATAGGAGTATAGGTGGTGGAGGTTGGGAATAATCTGGAGCTGAGGTTTGTCAAAGATTAAATGGTGACATTGTAAAATTGAGTTGGCTAACTCTAGGGTCAAAATTGGAGAGGGAGGAAAGTGAAATAAGAGCAGGGGTAATTGGCCTGAAAGAATGGATTTAAGAAGGGTGAGGTGTAGAGAGAGATGAAATTACAGGAGGCTATGATAGGATAGGGGAATTTCAGAGTTTTTCATTAAGGAAGTGAAACACTTGTGTTTAGTGGTGAGATCCAATGTATGACCATAGGTTCATATAAGCCTTCCCTTGCTTCGCTGAATTTTGCATATTTATCATTTCTTTCTTTCTTTTTTTTAAAATTAATTTATTTTAAATTATCAACAACTACTTCCATAAGCTTTTGAGTTTTAAATTTTTCTCCCCCTCCCTCCCCACCTCCCCCACCAATCACAGCTATACATATGCATTCCTATTGAACATTTTCACATTAATCATGTTGTAAGTAAGAATTAGAACCAGTGGGAGGAACCACCAGAAAGAGGAAACAAAACACAACAGAAGGAAAAAAATAGCAAATAGTATGCTTCGATCTGCATTCAAATTCCATAGTTCTTTCTTTGGATGTGGATAGCATTTTCCATCATGAGGCTTTTGGAGATGTCTTAAATCCTTGTATTGCTGAGAAGGGTTAAGTCTATCAATATTAATCATCCCGCAACATGGCTGTTACTGTGTACAACATTCTACTGGTTCTGCTCACTTCACTCAGCATCAGACCATACAAGTCTTTCCAGGTTTTTGTGAAATCAGCCTGTTCATCATTTCTTATAGCACAATAGTATTCCATTACATTCATATACCACAACTTATTCAGCCATTCATCAGTTGATGAACATCCTCTTAATGTCCAGTTCTTTGCCACCACAAAAAGAGCTGCTATAAATACTTTTGTACATGTGGGTCCTTTTCCTATTTGTATGATATCTTTGGGATATAGTCCTGGAAGTGCTTTTGCTGGGTCAAAGGGTATAATTCTATTACACTGTAATTCTATTACATACACATACCATAATTCAATTTCATTTTCTTGGAAAATGGTTCTTAGAAGCTCTAAGGACCTAGAGTATGTGCACTGGGAACTTTCAGGAAGCTATGCATAAGTACCAGAAGTTTTTTGTTTTCTGGTCCTTGGTCACATTTAGGGTTCAAATGTATAACTAGACTGGAGATTGTTACCCTTTTTTGTGCTCCTTGGCAGTCTGGTGAAGCCTGTGGATCCTTTTTCAGAATGTCTTTAAATAGCTGAAGGAAAATCTGGCCTCAGACACTTGACACTTACTAGCTGTATGATCCCTGGGCAAGTAAATTAACCCCGATTGCCTCACCAAAAAAAAAAAAATAAATAACTGAAGGAAAAGCTGAATTTCAGTTAGAGGTTAGTGAAAATAAAAGATGTAATTTTTTTCCATCCAAGTTCATGGCTCCCTTTCCATCCTCTCCTCCACCTTGAAGTCTGTTCATGGACCACTAGGGAATCCATAGACCCCAGGTTCACAACCTCTGTACTAATAAAGTAGAAGTAAAGAAGGAAACAGAAATATTATTCTCATGAACTGAAAAATAGGAAAAAAGATCCATTAATTCTGCTGCCACCACCACCAAAAAAAAAAAAGGCAATTTATGGCATTGCCCCATAGGACTCTAGCAAGAGTTTTTGTAACTTTAGGTATCTATAAAACAATGCTTGTTTCAATATTTTTCAAAATATCTTTGGTTTATGACCTGGTATCGCAAAGCTTTAATGTTATTCCCAACTTATGTCCTGAATTCTGAGGTCCTAGGGATTTGAGACCCAGAAGTTTGCATTTGCCCTTAGTGCAGTGGGATGGAAGAGAGAAAGATATTTCTTGTAGTCTGAACTCTTAACTTCCCTTGGTAGATTAGATTGTTTTTTCTTTTTGACTTTTCTTCTGATTTTGAGGGGCCAAGGTTGGTTTCATTTGTACCAAAGACCTCCTAGAATAAGTTGTAGCCAGGACTCCTATAGTAAGTCAGAACCTCTTGGGGTCTAAACTTGAACTTCAAAGATATTGGGCACGTGGGCATTTAAGTTTGTAAAAATTGTCACTGTAATATTCCCACATTTATCACAGTATGTATTCAGTGCTTTTCACATACTTTACTCTGTGATAATCACTACAGGACATGGAAGTTAATGACAAAGAATGTACCCTTGAGTCTATAACTATGTTAAGGAGTGTTTGTAGCATGAAATTGTGGAAACAGTTCTATCCTGAAGTCAGGAGAGAAGGTTCAAAAATGCACCCTCACCTTCTTGAACTGGAATTTATTCTTCTCCGAACTTATCACTTCAGTTTGGAGGTTCTTTCCTTTCATAGACTTTGAATAGTACTTTAAATGCTTACCCATCTCTTGAACATTCTTGTACTATTTGTACAGTTGACTGACACCTACCTTGCCAGGGGTGTTGAGAAGATCAGTTGAGATAATATGTGTAAAGTACTTTGCAAACTTTAAAATGCTATATAAATATTGGCTGTTATTAATATCAAGCAAGGCACAACACAAGTATGTGTAGATGTGTACTTGTCAAAGGTGTTTGCCACTGCCATGCAAAATGTCCATTATACACTCAATGGAAAAGGGATTCCCTATAGACAGTGTTTTGCAGGTGCTCCTGTGTGTAGATGACCAACTTTGTATTAATTGCTAAAAGCTCTGAAACATTGTAGAATTGCCCAAGCAAGATATGTAATAAATTAAATAATTTTGACCTAACTATCCACAGAGAAAAAACCAAGTGGATGAATAGTACTCTGTCATTTGAGATTATACTATGCTAATTTCAGTTCCGCAAACATTTATTGTTTCTATTATATGCAAGGAAATTTTGAGAAACATTTATGTAGGAAATTGAGGGTTGACCTTGATGACAAGATGAACTTGTTTTAAGCACTGCCTCTAATAAATACTAACTCAAGTGTCCCAATCAGCTCCAGTACTGTAAGCTACAAAAAAGTTGCCGAACAGCATTGGTAGAAGGCATATCCCTATTGGGAGCATCCTTTATTGATGAAATAACAAATTTGGACCAGAAAAAAAGTGAAAGTTGCTGGGTTATGAAGATAAAACTAAAGAGCCCCTGCCCTCAAGGAGTTTGTATTTTATTAGCTGTATAGTTGGAAAGAAAACCCGAAGAGCTGGTTTAATAGTACATATGTCTTAGACACATATACATAGATAATGAGCTAGACCTAGAATTAAACAGAACTGATGGCATGGGAATTTATATAATGCTTTGAAGACTCTTTGAAGCTTATCTGTGAAACATCAGTAATTCCCCATTAGAATGTGAATTACTTGAGCTAAGTTCTATTTGTATTCTCATAGCTTAGCTCAGTGCTTTTCACGTGGTAAACACTTAATGTAATTTTCATTCATTCATTCCAGTGACACCTGTGATTTTTTTTTTTTTTTTGAGAAAAGCAAACACAAAGCTTCTCTACCCTCCCCCCCCAAATAAAACTTGACTGGTATGTTGTTGGGTAGTAGCCATTTCTCTTACTGAATCACTGCACAGGGCAGACAAGGAGTGGGATGGGACTGGAGATAGAAAGAAAGTTTGAAGGGAGGGATGAATGAGCAGTCAGGAAGTTAAGCATCAAAAATGAGAGATATTGTATTTGATAACTAGCTTCAGTTTTTGGTTTTTTTTTAAATTAAGAAATATAAAATGATTTATGATGATGACTGGGCCTTTGTTGTGTTGAAAATTTCTACAAGCAGCACTTTTCAGCTTTTTAATTAAAAATATTTTTTTTGTAAGATGGATTGCATTCCATGCTCTGGCATCAATCTTTGCCAATGCATGAAGACTGGGGAAAGCAAGGACAAGATAGGACACTGTTGGTAGCCATTTGACTGGAGCAGAGAGTTTGTGGAATAAAGCCAGATTGTTGAGCACCTTATATTATAAGGTGTAGGATTTATATTTCCTTGGCAAATAAGGAGGGTAGTGATATGGTTAGACCTATGCATTTGGAAGATAATTTTGGCAGCAGGGTAAAGGTTAGACTGGAGAAAGGAGAACTTGGAGGTGGGGAAAGCAGTTAGGGGACTTGACTATTGAATATTGGAATAGTGGAAATGAAACAAAAGGCATTGATGAAATTCTGTATTTCTCAGACAGTAAGAACTGATTGAATTTTGGGGGTGAGGCAGAGGAAAGAGTCCAAAAAGACAGGAATTCTTTAAGACTGGGTGACTATAGGGATGATGATAAAAGCTATCGACAGAATTATAAAGATTGGGAGGAAAAGGGTGTGGGGGCAAGGAGGGAAAGATGTTCAATTTTTGACATGTGACTTTGGAGGATTGTGGGATCCAAATAAGAGGGAGGGAGGACAGTGTAGCAGTAAACAGATGAATTTTGCTGTTATTATATTCTATTCTGAATTATATTTGTTGTGTACTTAATAGTTACAGCATACTTTTAAAATGTTTTATTGATACTTTTTTACATGGCTACCCTTTTCACAGTTCCACTGCCCCAATTAGACTCTTACAACAAAGAAGTATAGTTAAGCAAAACAAATTAATATATTGATCACACCTGACAGCATATGCTTTATTCTTCAGCCGTAGACTATTACTTCTGTGCCCATAGAAGGGAGATGTGCCTCATCATCAGACTTTTAGAGTTAGGGTTGGTCAGTACCTTTGATCAGTTTTTATATTTCTTAATGTCTATCAGCAGTCCTAGCACTTTACATTGTAATTATTATATATTTGTGTGTATAAATGCTATCTTGTTAGCTGCATTAGGGTAGGAACCTAATGTTGTAATTATCTTTGCACACTGTTCTGTACATTGTTGGCATTAGGTAAAGGATTGTCCCTAGAATGAATGCTTTTCTTTTTCTACTTTCTACTTTAATTTTATTACTGAAGGTCACGAAGCTAGTTAAGCAGGGAGATTCTTCTCTAAAGTAGAGGCTTATTGTTCAAGTAACTGTGGATGGGTTCTTGGAAACATTTAAACAGGAAGAAAGGCCACGTGTTTTCACATGACCGTAGTTAACTAGTTCAAATCTAGGAAAACATACTATACTGAAGTAGAATTATGTACCTGCCGAATTTGTGTAAATGATAGTATCTTATCTCAATTAAATTCAACAAATATTACTAAATATCTCCTATGTACAAGAATGCATTGAGAATACAAAGACTAAAATTTATAAGAATACAAGCCATTCCCCAATTGATAAATGGTCAAAGGATATGAACAGACAGTTCTCAGAGAAGAAATTAAAGCCATCTATAGTCATATGAAAAAATGCTCTAAATCACTATTGATTAGAGAAATGCAAATCAAAACAACTCTGAGGTACCACACCTATCAGATTGGCCAACATGACAAAACAGGAAAATGATAAATGTTGGAGAAGATGTGGGAAAATTGGAACACTAATGCATTGTTGGTGAAGTTGTGAAATGATCCAGCCATTTTGGAGAGCAATTTGGAACTGTGCCCAAAGAGCTATAAAAATGTGCATACCCTTTGACCCAGCAATGGCACTTCTAAGGCTATATCCCAAAGAGATCATACAAATGGGAAAAGGACCCACACGTACAAAAATATTCATAGCAGCTCTTTTTCCAAAGAATTGGAAATTGAGAGGATGCCCATCAACTGGGGAATGGCTGAACAAGTTTGGTATATGAATGTAATGGAATACTATTGTGCTGTAAGAAATGATGAACGGGCTGACTTCACAAAAACCTGGTCTGATGCTGTCTGATGCTGGGCAGAATGAAGAGAACATTGTATACAATTATAGCCACATTGTGCGATGACTAATAGTGATAAACTTAACTCCTCCCAGCAATACAAGGATCTAATGCTATCCACATCCAAAGAAAGAACTATGGAAGTTGAATTGCTATTTTTTTCTCTTCTGTCGAGTTTTGTTTCCTCTTTCTGATGGTTCCTCCTATTGGTTTTAATTTTTACTTACAACATCATTAATGTGAAAATGTGTTTAATAGGAATGTAAATGTATAGCCTATATCAGATTTTGTACTGTCTTGGGGAGGGTGGTGGGGAGGAAGGGGGAGAAAAATTTTAAACTCAAAAGCATATGGAAGTGATTATTATTAAATTAGAATAAATTAATAAAAAAAAAAAGAGAATACGAAGACTAAAAAACCAAAATCATCCCTGCCCTGAAGCTTACATTCTAAAGGGGAGAAATAACATTCAAATAGATAATAGATCAATATGTGAAGTCCTCTAATTTTATTGGCTTGGAATTTCTTCAGAAGTACAGATCACAGCCTGTCCATTAACTGTTCCCAACAGAACCAGGAGAACAGTTTATATAATAACAATGTTATAAAAACAGACAACTTTGAAGGACTTAAGAACTGATCAAGAAAATGACCAACCATGATTCTAAAAGACTCATGATGAAACATGCTAACCACCTGCTGACCGAGTAGTGATAGACTCAGTACGGATTGAGACATAGATATTTTGGACATGACCAATGAGAGAATTTGTTGATGATACTTATTTGTTACAAGGACTTTTCTTTTTCAGTGGGTAGGGATGAGAGGGAGAGAATGTAGAATTTTTTTGTTAGTTGGAAAAAATACAGTCCTAGTCTTCTTGACTCCAGATCTGTCTCTCTATCCAATACCCAAAGTGTGGGAGGGGTGGGTGGCAGTTTAGGGTTTTTACTAGATGTATTACTGTCGGACTAATGCCTTATATTTATTTTATCTCTTATACAGATCAATGTATTAAAACTCACTGTTGAAGATTTGGAAAAAGAGAGAGACTTCTACTTTGGCAAGCTAAGGAATATTGAATTGATCTGTCAGGAAAATGAAGGGGAAAGTGATCCAGTGTTGCAGAGGATTATGGAGATTCTCTATGCCACAGATGTGAGTGTCTGTTAATGGTTGTTGAATGAAGGAGGATTTAATTATCTCATTTCTCTTCTAGACATTGGTTGTCTTTGGTTTTTCTTTTTCCTTTCTTTTTTTCCAGTTTAGAAGGGGAAGACAGATACTGAGTATATATAGTATGGTTTAGGCAAGCTCCACATTGGAACTTGGTGTGTGCTTTCAAAATATTTAATGCTGTAACATTCTGACAGACTTGACACTTAAAACATATAGTATTAAAGTTTTTCTTTTCACAGAATATAAGAAAAATTGAGCTGTTTTATGTACAAGTCCTACCTTCTTTCCTTCTCAGAGATCCATCCCTTTTAAAAAAAGAAAAGAGACATGTTCAGCAACATTAACTGACATGCCAAAAAAATCTGACATTATATGCAGTGTTTAACACCACAATCTACTACCTCTTTATCCTTCAGTTTCTATAGACAGTTACCAACTAGACTATAAATTTTGTAGTCAGGGGTTATGTTCTTTTTTAAAATTTTTCTTCTCTAGTTTTCCCCCTCCCTCCAACCCTTGCCTCTCTCTTCACCCCTTCCTCCCAACAATCGCTTGGTATGAAGTCAAAGAATGCTTTAATGGGAGCCATTGTGCTAAAGACAGAGCCCAGGACTCAGTCAGGAAGACCTGGATTCAAATCCTGTCTCTGACACTTATAAGCTTGGGACCCCAAGCACATTACAGGGCCTCAGTTTTTGTGAAAAATGGAAATAATAGCACTGACTTCATAGGATTGTCGTGAGGCTCAAGTGAGATGATTGATGTAAAGCATTTACCAAATTTTGAAGTTCTATCTCTTTCTCTACATAGATATATAAATGTGACCTGCAGTTACTGTTAATGTTGACAATCATGTTAGCATGGTGCAGTTTTCAAATGTTGGTACACATGTTTTGAACTTGGATTCAGAGGAATCAAGTTCAAGGTCTGACTCTGGAATATCTTAATGATCTGTCATCTTTAGCAAATTGCTTTCCATCTCTCTGAGCCTCTTTTTCCTTATCTTTAAAATGGGCATAATGATAATTCTTGCAATACCTTACTGCACAGCATTGTGCGAAAATAACTTTATAAAGTGCAAAGTAATATGTGAATGATTATATAGCATTCTGAGTCAAGCCATCTTTTTCTCTCCTCTTTTAGGAAGGCTTTGTGATACCTGATGAAGGGGGACCACAAGAGGAGCAAGAAGAGTATTAATAACCCATGTACTGTACCAGTAGAGCAGCAACGTCTGAATTTTTCACCCCAAATCATGTGCTTAACTGTAAAATACTCCCTTTTATTATTTTTTAGAGGACTCACTCACTGGTTTCTTTTCATAAGCAAAAAGTACCTCTTCTTAAAGTGCACTTTGCAGAAGTTTCACTCCTTTTCCAATGGGTTTTGAGTTAGGAGCTTTTATCTTGTGGCAGAGCAGTATTAACATCTAGCTGGTTCACTTAGGGAACAAAGAGGCAGACCTTGAGAACTCACTATTTGGTTGCTGGTAAAGACACTGATATCTGAAAAAATTGTTTTTATGTAATATATTGAAAATGGAAACTTAAAATAGAGAAATGTGAGGACAACTCACAGAATGGATTAACTAATGTGAAATCTCAGCATAGAACTAAATAAATGCCTTAAGAGTATTTAAAAATGTTTCCATATGTCAAATTATAAAATGTGTGACAGGAGATTCTCTGTGCTTCATATTGTGGTTAGAAAGAACCTAACCTTATACATGGCTGTCTGAGAAGGCCTGTGGTGCTCTTTTAGTACTTTCAGGCATAAAAATTGATCAAAATGCAAAATAAAGAAATTTATTCTAGAACTTTTTGGTATTACTCAGTGGTTAACCCCCCATGAAAGAATAGGCTGGATTTTTGCCTAACAGTCAGAGGGAGTCTTTTGGCTCTGAGATGTATGATTGAGTTGAAGAGCTCAAAATTGTTTTTGTGGAGCATTTCTGTGGTAGTTTTTTGATGTTTCTCCAAACCTTCTTTGCATTGTATTTTCTGGAAAGCAAGATGTGTCCAGTTTTATTACCTAAAAATTGCTTTTGGAAAGCAAAATCGCTTCTCTGAAAATGAATTTTGCTTGGAAGCAGATTGTCTTGTTTTTCCATCCTATCTTTTAGTTCCTTTTTTTACTCTTCTCTTCCCCTTATATTCCCCATTTGGGGTCTCTTCTTTCTGCCCCTTAAAGCATGCTGCTGAGAATAGACATACCATGGGCAGGTGATCATGCTCCATGTTCTTTCTGGACCTCTGGTAGAGGGGGAGTGATCTGTGAAGGCTGAGATTACCTTGTGATCTGTAAGGCCTGGGTCTTTTTTTTTTTTTTTTTTTTTTTTTTGGTACCTGCTGTCCACAGCCCTCACTGTATCTGAATAGTAGTTGCCAGTGCACTAATCTCCTTGGAGATAAAATTCATTAGTGTGTTACTAAATGTTAATTTTTTTTTTGCAGAAAATACAGTACCATGTCTAATTTAAATATTAATATTTAAAATATTTCATTCCTAAACACTCCCATCTTTTTTGCTTTGCACCTCAACCTGTTTTCATCCCTTTTGTTTGGCAGGAACCTGCCAGGTTTCTCAGTTACCTACTACTGAGATTGATCAGTTCTGATGTGCTTGTATCAGTTTGTTTCTGGTGGTAGATTCTGGTGTCCTAAAATGTGTGTAGAAGGCGAGCATTTATGATAAAATTGTTGTGTAGTGCATGATCTGTGTGGAATTCTGAGGAAAACCCAAATTCAGTGAATAATAATAATAATGCCAAAAATGCAAGTAACTCGCCATTGTTAAAATACAGTGGTGCTATTTCTCTCTTGTGGCCTTTTTAGACTTTTGTTGCCCTAAAAATTCCATTTTACTGGGAAACCATATTCCACCTGGTCTTTCTTGACAGGGTTTTTTTCTACTTTAAACAGTTTCTAAATAAAGTTCTGTATTTCAAGAATGTCATGTCTTCTGAAATTTGTCATGCCCTGGTCTATTAGGCTGAAAACATAAGATGCTGATAGTCCAAGATTCAGTTCATGTGATTAAATTGTGGATACTTCTTTTGTATCCTTTCTTTAAACTAGTTTGTTGCAGTTTCAAATTCTTTTGTTCTCTAGATAGTTTTTTTCTTTTTCATTCTCACCATACACCGGTTGTCCTCCAATCTTTGTGAGGCTAGATACTCTTTATCCTCTTTATGAAGACAAGTACGATAGAACCGTCACTGATTGTCAAGGAGAGATTTTTTTTTCTACTTTTCTTTTGGGCATGACTTAAAGTAGCAAACAAAACTTAATACAAATAAAATAGGGCTATTTTCCCCATACTACGGATTTCTTCGGAGTAGCTTCAAAGAAAAGTTTGTTGCATTAAAAAGCTCGATGTAAACTTAAATGGGCAAAGGATAACCTTTTGTATGCTCCTTTTTAAATACTGAGTACAATTGTTAGTGGTATGTAAATACTGATTGTTGAAGATTGTATCCTGGGCCTATGTAAAAAATGAAAACCCTTATATATGAAGAATTATCTTTCTAAATATGTCACATTATTTGTGAGGGCATTTAACATGGATTTTGACAAACAATAACTTCATACAGGAACACACTGAATTTATTCATAGGGTGATGTTACCATCTAATCTAAATGGTTGCTTTGGTAACAAGGTGCAAAACCAGTAATTTAAGACTTTGAAGTATGTTGATTGAACTGAATTTTTGTGGTTGATGCTCATACACTCTCACTTAACTAATTTGTATTTAGGTCATTTATGCAGTAAACTTTAATAAGCAGTTTGTGTTCTCTTGGCATGTTGTATGCTGCCTGAGGAGTCCTTGGGAAACTACTCTGTTGTGAGTGCATTTCAGACCAAAACTCACTCTTTGACCTTACCAAATTAGTGAAAATTGGATTTTGACTCCATCGTGGTTGCTTCATATCCCATCTACTGGCCTCTTATTTAGTGAGTAGGAACTGTCTAAGTGACAGTTTTTCAAATTGCCCCACAATAAGCCTTGCTGTTTTCATAGGATGTTTTTTCAAGAAAAGTTTTTGGCTTCAGATGCTTAGCTCAATTACTGACTTTTTTCAGATTTTAATTTGGATAATTTTATTTCTGAATTCACTTCCTTTTTACTGTTTAAGATAGTCTGAATTAGCTAACTTCTGAGGTCCTTCCAACCTGAAAGCCTGTGATCCCCAAGTTATATTTTTGTTTTCACTCTTGTGCATTTGTTCCTAGTTACAGTCAATTACAGTCAGAGAATGAACATTATAATTTTATTGTTTGATCAAGATATTATATATTTTATTTTTAAATACCAAGCCTGCGATGTCAGAAATTTAATTTTTGTCTCTAGGTTACCCTGTAGTGTGTGAGCTTAACAGACTTAGGTAACAAGTTATGTTACTTTAGTTACAACAGAGATGAATGAGTCTGCAAAAACGTCTTTTTTTTTTTTTTTTAAGCAGAATGAATTCTTGATATACCAACTTAACACATATAGTTTATTTTGTGCATTCCAAAGCAGCTCGTCCTAAATAAGACTAAATTGCTGTTGTGATAGCAAGGTCATTTGTTATCGTATATTGCAGAATGATTTCTGTAGCTTGCTCACATGAAGTAATTGCCACTAAACAGAAGAACCTGAACCTGTGATAATATGAGGAGACATTTTGTTAGTTTAGTACTTGTTATATTATTTTCTGTGCTCTATTCTTCTGGGGCCAAGATCCTTAGTGAGTAAAATCAGCCTTTCCTCATTTGTTGCTGTATCAGATTTTTGAAAAAAAAAGCTTCACTTCTCTCTGTCCCTGTAGTTTTAATACTGCCTTTCCTCATACTCTTATCAATGATTCTCTTGGTGAGAAGTCACAAATATTTAAAACCTTCATATAGAGGCTAGAAATGAATTTCCCTCTCTTCTGTTTGCGCTCTATTTTTGACTATTTGTAGAACTGTTCAAACTTAAATAACGTCATGCAAATTGGTGAGCACATATAATTTGGGAGGAAGCTCTTGGTTTAATTTAAATTTGGATGTAATGTCTTATTATTCTGACCACAGTACTGGTGTTTATTCAGTAAGCTATAGTGTGGCCAAAGTTGGTTATTTTATATAAAATGAGTAGTTTTGAATTAGTTGACCTTTAAGATCTCTTCCAGCTCTAAATCTGTGATCCTGTGGTAATCTAGTCCATATTATTAGAACTTGAACTCTGATCTGCTAATTTCAATATGACATTGAAGAGTCATGAGCCCCAATTTTAGTTCTATGTAAGAAACCTCTTGGTCAGACTATTATGATTATGCAAGGTGAATAGCAAACAGACTTTAAAGATGTATGGATGACTGATGATAGTCTCCAAGAACATAGTGAATAATTGATTGTAGAGATACACAACCAACACTATCATTTGAAAATTTCAGTGTCCAGCGACAGCCCAGAGGTTTTTTGTTTTTTTTTTTTGTTTTTGTTTTTTGGTAATTAGTGTATCAAACTATAAACCATCCAAGAATATCAGAACTAGAGAGGACTTAGGAGATCTTCTGGTCCAACTCCCTTAGTTTAAAGATGAGTAAGCAGGTTCATAGTGGGGAAGTGACTTGTCCATCCATGATTGCACTGATGGAGAACTGTTTGGAAGCTGGAAAACCAGGGTTTCTCATTTTCAGACCAGTGCTTAGTCTCCTATTCCATGCATTTTCTTTCCTGAATTATCAGAAGTGATACACCAAAATACTAGGGTTTAGTGTGTCTGTTTTATTTTTATATTTTTCTTCTTTTATTCCCCAAACTTACTGAAATGAAAAAAGAAATCATTAAGGACTGAACTCTCATCAGTTTTAGCAAATAAAATTTTACTTCAATTAAATGCAGGTGACTTTTTGATAGAAAAGTTTGCTTTTTTGTTTTATTAAATTACGTATCTTTATGAGCTATTTAAAAGCTACTGAGGGAGTCATGGAAATGGGAACAGATGGGAAATGGTAGGGAAAGACAACTCTAGGACTTAGTGTAGGGGTTAAGAGTGTGATGTCCATGGAGAGAACAAAGGCTGTTAGTTTAATCTGTTGATTATCTTCTGGTATTGAATTGAATTTCCGGTATAGAACAAAGTTCAGGAAATTTCTGATAGATGGGAATCATTGGAATAGTATACATTTATAAAATTAAGTTCGTGGTCATCAGGTTTGTTTTTTTTTATTTTTGGTGAGGCAGTCGGGATTAAGTGACTTGCCAAGGTCACACCAGCTAGGAAATGTCAAGTGTCTGAGGCTGAATTTGAACTTAGGTCCTCTTGACTCCAGGGCCAGTGCTCTATCTAATACGCCACATAGCTGCCCCCATGGTGTTCAGTTTTGATGGAAATGGTAATGTTCTTATTACACTATTGACTGCTAACAATTTGAAATGAACACAAACCTTGGAGTCTTCAGTATAGAAAAGCAGAATAATAATTATTAAAATGAGGAGTGTAAGAACAAGCTTTTAGTGAGAATATTGCTATTAAAGCTACGAGTATAAGACCAAACATTTGGAGAGCATAATAATTATTCTTATTAAAATTAGTCTAAGTTCAAGCTTTCAGAATAGAAATAAGAGAATATAGAGGATGAGAGTCCTGCTGAAGTCCTTATCGAGCTAAGCAAGTGGGTGAATTATGTGCAAAGGACATTAAAATGGGAGAAGAGCTGAATCCTGGTTAGTCATAGTCATGTCACTGTGTCACTTTGTGCAAGTCATATTCCCAAGGTGGGCCTCAGTTTCTCCTATCTGTAAAATGAGAAGGTGGAACTAGATGGTCCTTAGTGTCTTTATCAGTTCTAGTATTTTTAAGGTTCTAAGGTCCTTTCCATGTTAGTGCCAGTGAGACTTTTTCTCTAGTGGGTTACTCAGGTAGTAGTAGTATAGAAATTTGAACTCAAGTCTTCTGTTTTAACCTCTCTCCCTACCCTTTATATTCCACATGTAAAGGGACTGAAAGAACACATTATTTGTCATATTCACATTTATATTTGTGTTTTAATATGTTAAATTTAGTCATTTAAACTTCAATATGTTGCTTTGTCACATTCAGTTTTAAGCAGTTAGTTTACAGATCATTTAGAGTTCTGACTGTCCTTTGATCCTTTACACAATACACTAGTGATTTTATTTCCCTGGATCTCCAGGTATGCTTGACTAATTCAAACTTCTGACTCTTCTATGCCTATTCCCTGCTGCAAATGTTTTTGAAGGTTACCTATGAATTGAGGAATGACATAAAATTAAATGGTATTTTTCCCAGAGAGAAGGGTATGGAGGGGACAGGGAAGAAGGGGGAGAAGAATGGGGAACATGGATGGAACCACACTAAAGATATGCTCTTGTCTTGTACATCTGACTTCTGAATTCTTTGATTTTGAGGGAGGTCCTTGACAGTTCAGTGGGAAAAATATTCGATATGAATAAGGAGATTTGGACTTTAGTATGGACCTGATTGTTAAATTCACTTTCTTGTGTAACCTTGGCAAAGTAATATTCCATCTCTGGACCTCAGTTTCTATAAAATGGACTAGATTCCTTAGGATTCATTTTCAGCTCTAGTGTTATAGGAGTATGAATTCAAACTCCTATGTTTGAAAAGAAAAAGGATAATTTTCTTGCTACTAATGTGCACTTTAGCAGTTTGACAGATTATACGGGAGTGGTTTAAAGACTTTAAATAATGAATAAATCTTAAAATTCACAAGTTAAACCTTGAGTAGTTCTCATTGACACTAAGGTTAACACTTGTTTGCCATCCTTAATTTGAATAGAACAGTTAGTCTTTTGTTAGATCTTCAGGTTTAGACTTTATTCTAGCCATTCCTTCTGTGTGTACTTAAGGGACAAAATGATTAACATTTGAGGAACAAAAGATAAATAGATATTTAAGTTGACTAGAAGTTCAACCATTGAGCTCTTAGGCTCTAGAATGAGAATACCTCCTCATTCTTTACTCTAATACTTAGAGTTTTGTAGTCATTTCTAGGCTCCATATTTTTCTTATTATCGAAGGAATCAGGATTAAGTGGAGATAGTAATCATAACTAATATATT